TTTACCCACGGTATCGAATTAAATGCCGAGACTAATTAATGCGGCATTTAATTCAGGCCAAATTAATTTTAGGTGTAAACAATGCCCCCACAACTTAGTTTATAAGAATTTATGAACTAAGTTGTTGACACAATTTAAATCACCTAAAATAATTTTATTCAACCACAAACCCACCAAAATTTGCAGAAAACTTCAGGCCGGATTTGTTCTCATGAATTATGCACCATTAGTGCTTTGGTCATATATTCCCTTTTGGACAAGGAAATTGCCACTCTGCCGTAAACAAATCCTATCCCATTTTTTATTTGTCAAATCCGACGTGCAGCCATGCATTAGCCGCAATGGCTCTTACTACAGCCCTGCTGAGAAGCTTGCAACGTTGCTTAGGCAGAACGACAACGTTTGAGTTTTTTTTATTATTATTAGAGCTGCTTGGCCGAACACTACTCCTTTTGTCGGCAGAGCTTTAGACTCCCACAACAGTCGCGCCATTGCTTGGCCACAGTGTTGAGAATTTTTTTTTTAATTATTATTTCTCTCTACCAGCGCTGCATTTAAAAAAAAAATTCTCTTCAGGGCTGTTGGAAACAGCGGCAGCGCTGAGAAACCCCCCCCCCCTTTTTTATTTCCCATCAGGGATGTTAGCGAGCAGCACTGCATGCATAATTTTTTTTATTTTTATTTATCAGGGCTGCCGGCCACCTTCCCTCAAAGCCATTACTTATTATATTTTTTTATTTATTATTTTTACCTACCGGGGCTGTCAAATTTCGGCCACAACCGTAACGCTGAGACTTTTTTTTTCCACCAGGGCTGTTACTCTCCTTCGCCAGCGCTGCATGCATAATTTTTTTTTATTATTCTCCATCAGCGCTGCTGCATTTATTAAAAAAAAGGTTTTTTTTCAGGGCCGTTGGAAACAGTGACAGCGCTGAGCACCCTTTTTTTTAATTATTTCTCCCGCAGCGCTGTTTTGGCCGCCCACTTTTTTTTTTTTTTTTTACACAATGACAAAGATGGAAAAACTGACGCACCTGTTTCTCGCTCCTCTTTACATCCAACATCAACTACCTTGCCGACGGATGTAGCGTTGTGAGAAGATTAGTGAAAAATCATCAAAAGGCAAGAGTTGATAAAATAAACAACGGTGTTCTCTCTATATATTTTTTTTATAATATATCGGCCTAGTTTCATAGCCGAAGTCTAGGACAAAACACCATTGTTTACCTCCTCCGTGAAATTGTTCTCCCTGCAAAACAACTTCGTTTCTTTTTCGGCCACATAATTTATTATTTTGGCCAAGATTTCTCTTTTTTTTTCCGGCATTGAGGCCAAGACAACATCGTTCAAAGGAGAAACCAAAACGATGTCGCTGCCCCACTCTTACATCGTCGACTGTGTTCGAGTATGGCCGACTGGCTAGTTCTAGCCACGATAGCATTCTTAATTTTTCTTATGCCAAGTACCAAATCGTCTATGCCCAACAACAATACTGTTAACCATGCCTACTACTCGTGGCAAAACGACTTCGTTTGATAGGATTGGAACATTTTGGTACCGAACAGCGGTACCGCACCGGCTGGACTCGAGTGAACCCTGCCACTGGCCTTAAAGGCATTAAAAAATTTCTTTATTGGTAACGAAGCTGGCGAATTAGTTTATTTGATGCCTACTTCGCCATTCCCGTACTATTCAACCACGTTGTGCAAGCTTGGCGGCCGACGAGGCCACTTTTAGTACATGGTTGTTCGTCATTGTCTAGATTAATGACCAGCTGTGTCCCATAGGGACGGTACATATGGCTTTAAATAACAGCCAATGGATCTTGGACACTGAAATGCCGTTTTGTATACATCCTCCTCGGCTATGTATATCTTGTTATAGCCCGAGTAGCAGTCCATGAAAGAAAACCTGACATGCCTGGTTACGACATTGATTAACATGTCAGCCACCCGCATGGGATACAGATCTTTCGGTGTAGCATTGTTCAAATTTCTAAAATCCACACAAACGCGTATTTTGCCATTTTTCTTTCTAACAGGCACAATATTCAACAACCACAACACATATCTAGCAGTCCTGATAAACTTAGCCTTCATTAAACGTCCAATTTCCTTTTTCACTTCAGGCAAGATATCATGCGAAAAACGCCTAGGTGGTTGTCTATGTGGCTTATAACCTTCTTTAATTGGAAGTCTATGTTCAACTAACTTCCTATCGAGACCAGGCATTTCATGATAATCCCATACAAAGCAGTCTTTAAACTCTTTAAGGAATTCAATTAATTCGTACCTGTCAGACTCTGGCAAACCAGCACTGATGAAGGTTGGGCGTGGATCCTCCTCCGTGCCAAGGTTGATCTCCTCTAAAATGTCACATGCGGCAAGATTGCTTTTCTTCTCCACTTCGTCACTCACACCCTCGCCGTTAGTCGGCAAGTCCTCATCGTTGGGAAAACAGTCGGCCATCAAGACAGGCTCTATCCAGACAAGTCTCTGTTCACACTGATAGACGGCCAACTTCTCCCGCAAGGCCGTGATTTCGGCCTCCACCACCTTCTCTCGAGGTGGTTCACTCATCATCGACTTGTTCATCAGATTTCAGTGGACCATCCAATGTGATCATGGTCTCACGATTTCGGATAATGGATCCAAACACGCCTTACTCAACACCTGTGCACTTGACACTATGACGTTGGTCGTTCCTCCATCCCCGCTCCTGATTTCGAGTGGTCCAAAATCTTCATGGTACAAATAAGCTTCAGCCACGTTGGCCCCAACGGCAAACGGCTTTGTGTCAGCCTGTATCACCTCAACAACACCGTCCTCATTCCAAAACATCAAACACTGATGCAGCGATGAAGGGACGCACTTGTTGGCGTGGATCCAATCCCGGCCAAGTAGTGCGTTGTAACTTATCATTCCATCCACCACGAAGAAAGCACTCATCCGCTTCTGTGATCCAACTCCCACAACCACTGGGAGGATTCCCCGTGCAGAAGTGGACCAGCCATTGAAGCTTGTCACAAAAACCTCCGTTGGGATCAAGTCATTAGTGCTCTTGCCCAACTTCTTCAGCATCCTTGTTGGCATCACATTTACTGTGGCGCCATTGTCAACTAAGACTCTCGACATTGGTACGTCATCAAGTGTGGCCTTGATGTAGAGAGGCCTCAAATGACGCATCATCTTCGGCTCGGGCTCGTTGAAAACAACGACCCTATTCGATTCTTCACCCGTGATTCCTTCGTCCACGGCTTTCCCCTTCACTTCTGCAGCCCGGATAGATTTCTCCAGCTCGTCGAAGTCTGATCCCCATGTGATGTTCTCCATCGGCACACTTGTTGACTCTTTCGGGCCTTGATACAACACGTAAAAAGGATATCTTCCCCCATCTTCGCCCAGTAGCCCAACAGCTTTGTGGCCTGATTCGTACAGCTCTTTCAGGATCCGCTGCGAACTCTTGTTTTGCTTGGCTGATTCCACTGCCAAGTTAATTCGCCCATCCGTGCGAGCCATCATTGCACTCCACGACTCAGCCTCGATTGGCAGATCCGCAGACTCGCCAACCAGCTCTGCCGCCGCTGGCTCCTCGTTCTCCTCCTCTAAAGTCAGTTGAGCAAAACCGCTCACCAGCTCGGCGACGTTAACCTTTTGAGCAGCCTCGTCTAGCTCTTCAACCTCCATCACGACCTCGCCATTCTCTCCCTGATTTTCCAAATTAATGTGGAAAATCAAAGGCAAGATGTAGTTGTTCACCACCACCGGTGGTAGACTTCTAAACTGGATCGTCATGGGTGCACCTTGGTTGTCATCATCGTCATCCTTGTTTTTCCGATCGAATTTTGACTTCGGCTCCTCCAATTCCAGCATCTCCTCTTCGATGAGGGAGTCGTCCAACTCAGCACCGTTGGTCTTGCCAGGCCTTGCAAAAATCCAACCCGCTGTGGTATGGTCTCGAACGCCTCGCTTGGTAATATCGCGGCGTTGTTGATGCCTTGAGCGGTGTTGTTTTTAGCTGAACAACACCGCTTGATTCTACCCGCCACATCGTTTTAATATTAAACGACTCCGCTTCCAGCCTTGCGGTGTCGTTTTCTTCCCCAACCAGCTCTGTTTGTTTTTTTCTTCCGCGGCACTATTTTTTATTTAAACACTGTCGTTTGCTAATCCGCGGTACCGTTGAGCTTACTCGCGGTACCGTTTTGAATTAAACGAAACCGCCGATATAGCCAAAAAATATTAATCCATGGAACCGCCGAAGTCGGCGTTCGCATTGGGCCGGGTGAATTTTGGTCACTTACCCGATATGGTTTTTCATTAATCGGTACCGCTTATCAAGGCTCTCGCGGCGTTGTTTTTAAATCCGCGGTACCGTTTTAATTCTCCACGATGCTGCTTGTCTCCATCCGGTACCGCTTCTCTCCTTCCAACAAGGAATAACAATAATAATAATAATAATAATAATAACTCCTTTTCCAACACCAATACCAAAACGCGTGGCCCCATCTTGTTCTCCGGCGGTATCGTTTTCTGTGCCGCGGTACCGCTGAGTTTCCTTGCGGTACCGCTTTTTTGTTTCGCGGTATCGTTTTAACTTTCCGCGACGCCGCTCGACTCCCAACGACACCGTTTTTTTACCCGCGGTATCGAATTAAATGCCGAGACTAATTAATGCGGCATTTAATTCAGGCCAAATTAATTTTAGGTGTAAACACCAAGTTTGGTAGATCCCACTGTCACAAAGTGGCACGTGGGGTTAAGATTCCTGGGTTGTAAAAAAAATATCCTTCCCGACAAAAGCCATGAATCGGCAGAGCATCTTCATTCTTGCTCTAACTACTGTCGTCTTCTCTTCATATACCTTTCGGTTATAAAGGAATGTGTATATTGTTAACAACATGAGACAAACTAGAAAATTAAATGACGGTGTATGATTCATCTTTTTCTTCTTAATAAATGTATCTGCCCCCAGCGACCCAGTCAAAGCACATCGACCATCAAGAAATAAATGGACTGAGTGTCTCTCTGAGAACCAATAATCGTGTCCAATGAAGGGGAAGAAGACCAATAATAATGTCGGCAGAATTCTGGTTGGTCTTCTGGTGCTGTTTCTTGGAGTCCAGTCAGCATTTTCATGTCGGATTCGTATCCGAACTCTCCCAATTACAGGTCAGTACTATTACATGAAAAGATAGATTTTGCTTGGGATTTGTGGTTTTTCCCAGCCCTTTGATTACTAAGTGCTTATCCGTTCTACACGCGTGCAGTACCCAAGAATTACAACCGGCCGCCGACTGGTGTTCCAACGATCAATCCTTGCCGCAGCTTCTCGCCGCCGGCGAGGCATGGATGATATATATGTATAGGGCAACGATCGAGCTGTGTGTGGCCGCGTGGAGTTTTGAAGGGTGAAGGCTAATACTTAGATATCTTTCCTCTTCGTGAAATATTAATCAACTCTCTCTTTGCCTTTGGATTTTGGTTTTGGGGGGTTAACAAGCCTTGTTAGTTTAGTTAAAACGGTATGATATTGATAATTACTGTTTTCTTGGAGTAGCTTAGAACAGACGATTGTTAGCAGTAATTGAACCTCTCTCGGAATAATTCGAATTATTGAAACCAATTAATTCTGAAGAATGATTTCACTTGTTCTTTTTTTTTTTTTTTTTTTGCTGTCCTTGCTCATGAAGATTTGATTATTTTGTTCACTACTCTTTTCTCGGAGATGTATTTTTGTATTTTGTCACAGCTTCGGTGTCGATGTATAACTCATGAACATTTGATTCATTTGCATGCCATATTCACCAGAATTAGCTCTTCTTGCAGCTGCAGAATCTTTCTCATTATTTTTCTGTAACTTGGTACATTTGCTCTATGTGCTACTAATTGAATAGTTGTTCATCATCTTCTAAACACTTGCCAAAGTAATCAATAGTTGTGTATATGTTAATGGAAATCGCTAAGATGCTCAAGTTGCCCGGTTAGGTTAGTTGCAAATAGAGGTGGCAATTTATATTTCAATCCATCAATCCAATCTATCTACATAAATATTCAACTAATCCATTCCATTTAAATTCAAATCAGATTAGATTCATGGATTGTTGACAAATTATAGTTTAGTACCTAAATTTATTATATTTACAATTTGATAGTGAAATTTTATTTTTTATGCAAAAAAATGTCATTGGAAAATTAGGTTTTGCTACCTAAATTCTTGTATTGTGACATTTTAGTACCTAAACTTTTCAATATTTACATATGGGTCCAAAATTTAGATTTCATATAGATCTATGAATCAATCCACTAATTCATGAATGCGTTTGATCCATGGATCAAACTAATTTAATTCACCAATCCATTTTGTTCATAATGAGACATCCAAAGATATATTTATGATCATGTGAATGTCTTATATGATAACAAAGAATCAAGAAGTTTTAGCTTAAACCGATCTTCTTCCATCGAAGGATTGTTGTGGTCTGCATTTATTATGCATTTGTTGGAAGATCAGTTATAGCGAGTGCAAGTGGTTCTTTGAGCTTTCAAACGGGAAGTGGGAGATATTATTTGATGTTGTATCTGTCGTCATATCAATCGTTGAGATGAGAGTTTTGATTGCATATTTTCCCTCTTCAACAATTCTATTGAAGTAGGAAACTGTAACTTTCTAATCATGGTTTCTTTCATAATTCCTTTTCCTAAGGTAACCTATATAGAACAGGCCATTAATATATTTTACTTGGCCTTGGTCATATGATAAGAAAATAATTATAGGGACGGAGGACGCATCTTAACATGGTTTAACTACAAACAAAAAGTCGGCACAAAAGTGGAGCATATCAATGTTGAAGGCATTTGTCGAAGAGTGTAATGATAATCAATTGATCATTTTTTTTTTATGTTTCTTGAAGCAAGACGTCTTTTATTCAATTATATATTTAGTCGATGAAGCAATATGTTTTCAAGTTTGAGGCTTTTCTTTATAAATTATAATTTTTCGGTAGTCATGCTCTCTAAATTACCAATTAGCCATCTATAAAAGCTCAAAATTAGGTTAGCTCTCTGTTGCACACTCCTTTAATTAGGGATGGCAATTTTGCCCATACCCATGGGTATTTTACTATCCAACCCAATTGGGTTGGGTATGAAATCCAAATATATGGATATGGGTGAAGTTTGATGGGTTTGTACCCATACCCATTTACTTTGGGTTGGGTTGGGTTTATAACAAATGGATTTGGGTTTGTACCCATGCCCAAATACAAATTACAGTTTGGTACATAAACTTAATAGATATGCATTATAGTACCTAAATTTAATTTTTTTTGCATATAAGTCCTCAAAATATCGATGGAAAATTACGTTTTGGTACCTAAATTTTTTTGGCCTTACATTTTGGTACCTAAAATTTTCAAGTTTTACAAATAAGTCCAATTTTTGCATGTGTAGTTAAAACACCGTCAAGTAAATGGATATCCATATTCAACCCATACCCATTTAGATAATATCCATATCTAACCCAAACCCATATTCAAACCCCAAACCCATACACACATCACCCAAACCCTACCCATAATAAATGGGTCTACTTGGGTTTGGGCAAAATTACCCATGGGTGGGTAAATTGCCATCCCTACCTTTAATGGATCACTGGAGATAATTTCATTTTACCGCTCTAAGGGCACAAGCTGCTGCCTCTCGCCACCTTCTGCTTCCTTTGAACGCAACACTTGGAGGAGTTTAATGCTGCTGCTGATCCGTCGTCCTTCCTCTTACGACCAAATTGTTCAACCAAGGGCTGCACTCTTTTGCTGGCAAGTGTTGTTGTCCTGCTGCTCTGAACCCAACAATCGTAGCTTCCATCGTACATACCTCGCAACTCCTCGTACCTTGGAATCGGAGTGGGCCAGCAAGAGACTCTGGGCTGCAACGCCCTCCAACCAGGTTCATAGCATTTGAGTTTTACTGCAGAGAAGAACTCTGGCTCTCCTGTCCCAGTCCTCAAATTGCAGGAGAACACACACTCATTCAAGTACTTAAAGAAGACAACTTCCGGCTTCTCCGGATGCAAATCGAGCACGAAACAATTGTCGAGTTCATATAATTCACCCCATAACGACGATGATGTCGTCGTCTTCTTCAACACCAGTTCATATTGTAGGATCCAGTTCCCAGTATCTTCTTCAAGTCTCCAAACAGTCAAGGCATCCCTTGAGAAATGACCCACACTTTCAACTTCTAATACAACTATGTGAAAAGCACCTTGTGATACTGAAAAATTCCCACATCCATGGCACAATGCGCTCCACAATATAGGAGGCACACGCATACATTGAGGGGCGATGTCGAGGCGGAAAGGATCATATGCAGCAAGCTTTGAGCACAAGGAAATGTATTGAAGATGCATCCAATACATCCTCCCTTTCCACCAGGTTACATTGCTCCACGGCCTCTTCACGGCATGCTTGAAGACAACCTTGGTCCATTTCCTAGACTCGGAACAGAACACATGCAGCATCATATCATCGCAACATTGGAAATGACACACCACGCGGAAACGGTACTCAGAATAAACAAAGGCTGGTTTTGGTTCTGGCTGCTGCACAAAATTATATTCACTATGGGGTTGACAAACTAACACTACCGCAGATCCATTATGCCCACCTTCTGGCTTTTTAGGCGCCAGAGGGAGGGCAACCCATTGATTGGTAAACGGATTGCAAAGCAAGTAGGATCTGCCCAATTCGCCGAATAAGTCGGCAAACCCGCATAGAAGCAAGTCCTTGAAGCAATCAAAGGCTCTCAAAGCCGGTAGAGCTTTATCGGGCAAAGGGAGAAAGCTGAGCATCGATTGGGGGTTGTGCGAGGGGAGAAACAGAGATGCTGGTTGGTACCTGCTCTGGTGATGAGAAATAAAGCGGGGATTGAAGGTGGGATCCGAGATGAGGGATCTCCACCTCTTGCAGACGGCTTTGCACCGAGAGGAGGATCTAGGGTTTGGGAGGCAAAGCAGAATCTCTGTGATGAGATCGTCTACCAGTTTGGTGAATGGATTCAGGGGAGGAGGGTTTCCCTGTGGGACATAGAGTGAGCTTGGCGGTTGATCGAAACCCGAACTGAAATTCTCGGTATTGGTCATGGCAATAGGTCGACGGACTGGCGGAATGAAACAAGACTCGCCGCTGGAGGTGATAATAATAATTTATAGACAGAAGAAGAAGGAACAGCAGACGAGAAGAATGAGAGAGAGAGGGAGGGAGGGAGAAATATAAATTATAAAGTTGAAAATTAATTTAAATATTTAAATTATAAATATTCTTGGAAAATATGTTGTATAGGCCGGATGTGCAAATGACTGCGGAAGCCATGCAGGTTTCAAGCTCAAAAGGATGTTGTTTAGAAATTTAACCTTTCAATCTTGTCTTGAAAAACATGTGGTATTGCAAAGATGAATGATACTGGGGTTTTTTATAGAGAGATAACAAAACAAATTATTATGAATTTGGTATGCGGGACGATCTAAATTGTTTATCTCTATTTTAGATCTAGTTGCTATCCTACCATTACTATAAAGACATTCTCCGCCAGAACATATGAGAATGGAAAATTGTTGGTTCCTGCGCAATTCAAGGAAGGGCCCTTTGGTCCTTTCAAAGGAAGCATTTTTTTCATCTAGAACGCCGCTTGATTTGGCTTCCTTGGGAGAATATATTGGTTTGGACATAATTTATTATTTGGGCACACTTTGCATTTAAATGCTTTAAAAAGAAGGGTAAATACAATATATTAGCCATAACTATTAAGGAACGGAGAATTATAGTCATAACTATCGAAATACAAATTATTAGCTATAACTATTGTTGCGGGTTAAGATTTGGCTAACAGCCCGTTACTGTTTTCAAATTTTTAACGGAGAAGGCCATGTCATCATCGTAAAAAATATGATATGATGACTGCCACGTTGGAGCCAACTCAGCATCGTAAAAGTTTAGTCATCATTACTAATAGAAGTGTTACGAAAACTTAACGATTGGCTAATAATTTGTATTTCGATAGTTGTGGCTATAATTCCCCGCTGCTTAATAGTTATGGCTAATATATTGTATTAACCCTAAAAAGAATCCCCAAATTCAGTATTAATCAATAATTCATAATCTAATTTTCAAAACATGATATGCTTTATCATCTGGGTTTAATGTCAACAAAAAATTTAGTTTTAGTTACGTACAAAAATTTTATAGTTCTAATCGTTAGTAGATTTGTTCAATATCAATAACCTTTTATTTCTAGCTGTTAGTAGATTTGTTGGATAGGATTTTTTATTAAAATTGTTCTATATGTTTTATGTAAAGAATATAATTATTGTTTATTTACGAATGAAAAATGCTTGAATTTGGAAATATTATCATTCCAATGTGTATATAGGTAAAAATAAAGTTATAGGTATAATATGTTCATTTACTATTCATTTTTCTCAAACATACCACTGTACTATATTTCACATAAAAATTGTCCCTCTATAATGTATTTTTCTCAAACATGCCTTTCCGTTAGATTTTTCATCCAAAAGTGTTAAACTTAGTCAAACCATGGCATGGCCAACCTAAAATAACAAAAAGCCCTTTATTATAATAAACAACCAACCACAAATTAATAGGCCAATTGAAATATACGCCCTTTGTTCCGCTTCTTTCTGCTTCACTGGTCTGAATATACCTTTGACAACCTAACATTGGAGGCAATTGAAACGACTACCAAGTACCAAGCGGCGACAGCCAATGGTGAAATTCCCAATCTGATAATTCGCTTCCAAACCTAACTCTTTCTTCTTCAGATTTGCATATGAAGAAGTGCTCGAGATCAATGGTAACAATAGTCGACAGAGTGGATCCGAATCGAGAACTATGTGGCGACAATGACGAGATTTGGCGGCGAGAGGCACTACACGATAGGATAAAGATTTGAGATCCACAATCGTACAGGAAAATAAAATTGTTTCATATATTTTGACTTTGAGCAGTCTCATTAGGCTTTTCGATACCCAAATCTATAAATACTCTTCTCACATCCTGAAAAAGATGAGTTGATAGCAACGTAGACTAAAGCGGCAATGGCTTCCCATTTTCATTTTTGAAGAAAAGATAATGTCAATTGTGAGGCTTTAGCAACGGTGGTGGTGTGGGGTTTTAATTTAATTTGTTTTAATTGTTAATTTTTCCATCAATTATTAAGGATAATTTTGTAAATTCATATTGGTGATACCATGGTTTGACCGAGTTTAACGGTTTTGGATGAAAAATTTAACAAAAGGGCATGTTTGAGAAAATACATAGTAGAAGGACAATTTTGATGTAAAATATAGTAGAGGGGCATATTTGAGAAAAATGTATAGTAGAGAGGCATATTATACCTATAACCCATAAAAATACTCTCAACTTATTTTGAAGGTTGGCCAAGATATACAAACAGTTAAATTTTAAATGTCATTCACACTTGGTAATAATCAATATCTATTCTTTCATTATTTTCAACTCATTCATTTGAGGAAAAAATATCATACCCACTAAAAAAAATTACTACATAATGAATCTCATTTTTTACATTTTACAAATTCAGAAATCAACTTCATATTGGGGATAAAATTGCTTAGTCTAACTTTGTTGTACTGGATCACAAGGAAGTTGGATTTTTTGGAAAGTCTATAGTGATGAAATTATTCCATGCCTCATGCCTGTGAGTGAATGAGAGGACACCTACCTCTTTACCTCCTACAAATTGAGGCAATGGAGTTCAAGTTCGATACTAAACACACCGATTCCATTATCACGGGCCCTATAAGTAAGTACACAGTTTTGAAGATTAGGAAGGTTGAAGTTTACTTGCACTAAAATGATATTTCATATTTGAAAATATTTTACCATTAGATGTTTGCTTTCAATAAAATGCAAGAGAAGAAGAAGAAAGAGTTTGTTCAAATTACTCTTATAAGAGGTTCTCTCAACAAAGTACTTTTATAAGAATTATACATCAACATCAAAGACAACATAGGCTAGGCAACAATCTACATATACTATTTCATTCTTTTTTACTTCAACTTCATTCATTCGAGGAAAACACACCAAAACATAATATTGTCAACTAAATAGTATATCCAAATTGCTTCCATTTTATAGATTCAAGATTAATTGTGGAAAAAATTTGTTGAATCTGACTTTATTGGTCCGGTATGAGAGAGAGTTAGGTATATGGGAATGCATAATGAGAAACTATTTGAAGACATTGATAGAATGGGAAGACCTTTACCTTCTCAACTCCTACAAACTGAAGGAATGAAGTTGAATTTCACATCAAGCTCATCGATTACAATATCGCGAACCTCATTAGTGAGTAAATAGATTTAAAGATAAGGAAAGCTAAAGAAGGGTAATCTCACACAAATTTCATGACATGGACAAGGTAAATTGAACATCTTGAAAATGATGTTACACATATGTAAGTGTTGTACATTAAACTTTTGCTTTCGATAAAATGTGCGAGAAGAGAAAGAGTATGCTAATGGTGGCGGTAGCGGATACGACGATGGATAATGACATTATTGTGAATAAGGAAGAGATTGTTGGTGGTGGATATATAAATTTCCAAGATGGGTGAAGAGAGCGAATTGTTGATAATATTTAGATTTGGGTGAAGTAAATTCAACTAGCATGAAAATGATGTTTCACATTTCCAAACATTTTACAACTAGAGTTTGAGATTCAATAAAATGCATTAGATAAGGAAAAGACTATTGGTGGCTAATATAAAGGTTTAATGAGTGAAGATGAAGAGGCATGGATAAAAAATGATTTTGATGGTGAAACCATCACAAAAAATGCCCAAAAGAATTTTTGTAGTAATTTTTGGAAGATAAAATTTGTAGTAATTTCTGAAAGTAGTAAATTTGAAGTTCACTCTTATTAATCTCTTTAGGAATTGATACCTTGCATGAGCTTTTTTATACTTTTGTTAAAGACAGTTGTTCATGAATGATTAGGATATAAAAAAAATTTATAATGTATATTACCAATTTATACTCATTTAGATTCTTTCATAGTACATAATAAAAATATAATTTTGTTTGGACAATTACTATTATCGTTTATACAATATATGTAATTCATCCGGCCAACGGGCGGGCCCCAATCTAGTAATATATAAAAGAGTACAATCGGGATAGTGAATATTGAATAAGTGCTAAATTATAACTTTTTAAACAATCCATGAAACGATAAATCCAATTAAATAAATTGAATTAGTTAAATATCTTAGTGAATAAATCCAACTTGTGGACATGCAGCCTAAAATGGACCAGCCTCTCATTTAGAAGTCCCAAATGAGAAAAATAATTTTCGGGGATTAATTTCCTTAAATTTTATGGTTACTGTATTTTATTTTTCCTTTTTTTAAAACTCGTTTTCTAGTTTCTTACCGTTCAGAATTTCTTTTTCCTTCTGCCGATTAAACGACTCAAGATAGGGTGCATAACCATGGGTTATGCACCCATCAATAACCAAATCTGGACCCTTCATTTAGAAAATCCAGATCTAAGGATAGAGAATTAAAGGCTATTTTTATTTTCACTAGTTTTCTTAATTGACTCATATCTTTTTCGTTTTAACTTGGATTTTAATTTTTTTTGCACAGATGGAACGAGTTCATCGTGCTCTACAAAATGAGATCAATTTTCAATATTTTTTGAGGAAAAAAAATTCTGGCCTTTCGGTACCAACTGCATACCATATGGTATTTTCTTCGTTTTTCATTCGTTTTTGAAAACGTTTGCACAGCAGGGACGAGTTCATCATGATCTATTTGATCTACAAATTTCTGGGTGAACAAATTACAAGACCAAAAAATACCACACAATACCATACAATACCACCATGGTACGGAGTGGTATTTTATGGTATACAATGTTAAAAGTCGTAAATGACAATTAATATACTTCTACTATCATGTATTCAATCATCCTACAGTCTTGGTTTGTGCCATACCACCATGGTACGCTTTTCAAACCATAGGTATGCTCTTATTTCAATGCCAGTCAATACCATATGGTATAGACTGGTATAAAATGACTCAATTTTTTTTGTTCGAAAAATATATCAAAGTGGATATCATTTTGAAGAGCACAATTAATCTGATCTAACTGTGCAAAAAAAATTAAATTTCGACTTAAAATGAGTGAGAAATCGTCCGTCAAAGATTAAAGAGGGAAAAATTAAAGGCTTTCCATGAGAGAGAGGATGCTGATGTCATGCTAATGTAGACGGATTACTCATGGTTACTCACCATAAGGTTACTGACCTGATCCATTCCCCGATTAAACAAGAAAACTTCCAATAAAACAGCTGAAATTAACAAATTTCAAACGTCGGTAAAATTCCTCCTAATCCTGGAAGGACACGGTTAATTTCTTTTGGCTTGGGTGTCACGCAAGCGCGTCGGACTCGGTCAGCCACTCACTCAGCCTTCAACTATAAAACCATCCTTTATCCATTAGCCTCCACGTTCTCCACCTTCTTCCTAATTCCAACTCCAGAAACTTCCGCTGCGTTCTTTTGCCATCACCAAATCTCAGAAGACGATCTCGTCTTTATCCGGTGAAACTGGTCCATTCGCGTTTCTCTCATCCGAAGAAGGCGAAGGCGACGGCGACGGTGACTTGAAGCAAGCCAGAGCAGCACACTTTCCCCGTCATCCTCATCTGCAGCGAGACATCAGAAGCCGATCGAAGCCCTATTCAGACGACGGATATCAGTATCCTCGGCGCTTCCCAGATCCAAAGTTCGTGATCTGAAAAAAATTGTAATTGCTTCTTAGTTTGCAACAGAATTGCTTACTATTGCCATTTTCCGCTTCTCCGATTGTGAAAAAAAAAAATTGTTCGTTCTCCGATTATTATCACTATTGATCTGCTGAACGGAAGATTCTCGCTATCGTTTCCGATTTCGTGTTTGTTATTCGTTCGTTCATTCATACCCGTCTCTGCCTGGTTCTCTGTGTGCTGCGTTATACCTTCGTTGCAACGCTTGATTTTGATTTCGGCATAATCTGGTTTAGAGAAAAAAAAGGAAACCCTAAAACAATGGCGGCGACGATGACTACGTCGGTGCGGTACAAATTCCTGAGTTCTAGGGATTTTTCCGAGATCCAAATACAGGGACCTTACGTAACCGTCGGGGATCTGAAACTGGCGATTTTCAAAGCCAATTTCAAAGATCGATCTGCCGATTCCAAATCCCAGCAGGAAACCAGGCGACGTAGCAGTATCTGGAACGGTTGCTGTTTGGGAACGGATCACGATCTCTCCATCATTGATCCCCAAACCAATACCACTTATTCCGATGAAAACGCGCTCATCTTTGACAAATCGTCCGTTTTACTCCGGCGGATCCCAGGCGACCGCCGCCGCCAACCTCTGAACACGACGACGATTGATCTCCGTCCGGCGGTTGAAGAAGTGAAGTCTGTAGAAGAAGAAACCAAGTCCTACTCTGCTTCGGATTCGGTAATCACGACGACCAGTGGAATCGAAGATCTCGACTACGATGATTTTGGTGGTGATGTCTATGCTATTCCTTCCCAAGTGACCAAGCCGTCGATAGAGAAGAAGAAGAACACTATTGCTCCCGAGAAGAAGAATAGTATTGCTCCGGCCGCAGTTGATAGAGACGAGGAGAGCAAGATCATGGCGTTGGTGAATACTCCGGCTCTGGGAATGTGGTCGGCGGCGGCAGAGTCGACCCTGACTACAACAAGAAAGAGAAAAGCGCCTTACTCTACTCAGCCTCCTCCCAACGGCTACGTCTGTCACCGATGTGGGATAAAGGGTCACTTCATTCAGGACTGTCCGACCAACGGCGATCCCAGTTACGATCATCGGAAAAGAATGCGGCCACTGTCAACAGCTCCCAGTGCAGCCGCCGAGAGCGAGTTCAACAGGCAGATGGAAGGGATCTCCTCGTTTTCCAGCGTGATAACAACCAGCAGCAGCAACAGTGGCGGCAGCAAGAGCAATGGTACAACAACGGTGGGTGTGCCAGCGGAGCTTAACTGCCCATTATGCAGAGGGATCATGAGAGAGGCGGTGTTCGTGAAGAGTTGCTGTTTCCAGAGCTACTGTAAGGGTTGCATTAGTGACCATGTGAAGAGATCCAAGTCGTGTGCTTGTGGGGCGAGGAATGTCGACGAGGGTGATTTTCTGCCGAATGTTACAGTGAGAAGCATGATCGATTCCATTTTGCAGCAGCGTCGGAGTTGCAGTACTGGTAGCAGTGTGGGGAGCAATAGCTGCTGCTCTACCGTCATTGGTACCTAGAGAAAAAGTCTAGGCGTTAATTTCTCTGTTGTTCTTAGTTCCTTGTTCTCCTTCTCTAGGTTCAAGCAACTGTATAATGTAATGGGATCGATTGAGAATCATAATAGAAAGAAGTTTTTTGCTTCTAACTTTCTGGGCAGTTTCGGTTTTCTCTATATTTCTTGCATTGTTTTAGTTCTTCATAATGCTGTAGTTTAACTCCACGGTTCAATTTACCACAACATGGTAGTCGCAATCACCAGAAAATGAGCAGATTTCGAGCAATCACCATGCAGAAAGGAAAACTACAATGAGCTGCAAACATTATTAATATATAAAAGCCTTGGATGTGTCCACTGTTCATTAGTGGCCCCCAAACGCTGGGCTGCGAGTGGGCTTTTGCCGTTTGTTTCCTCCTAATTCGGCCACGTTCAGCTCTTCCCTCCTCACAGCAACTCTTCGCCCACCTAATTACCCCACTCGCCGAAAAGGAACCCTGTACTTTGCTATTACCCACTGGTTAATCGTCTTCCTCTCCCTTCTCGCTTCTCTTCTTCTTTTCTGACACACAAACCTCTATTGGACTCTCCCTTTTGTCCTGTCTTCTCACCCTTTCTACTCCTCCCTTCTTCACGCCACCCACAACACTGAGAAGCTCTCTTGCTTGGGAATCGGACCGCTGAATGGCTGGGGTACTTCTTGGATTCGTCCATTCCTTTTTACCCACCAAAGCTTTTTCATCCACTGGTTCTGCTGTGTTGGCGGGCAATTCTTGACGGAACCCCAGCTTCCTCGCCCTTTTTCCTCTCCGCCGTCGTTCTCCGTAACGGGAACCCAACGCTTCTATTGCGACCGTTCAAGAAAAACTGGTAATATTGTCCCTGCAATTCTCATATCCCTTTCCTTTTTTTGCACCAACTCCTCTCTTACACTCTAGAATCTCATATTTGGCCTACTCTTTTTGGAGGAATCCCAGGTTCTAATCTCTCCCTCTCTCCCGTTGTTGAAGAATAATAGGAAGACGGGAATCATTGGAAAAGAAAAAAGAAGAAGAGGCATCAGTTGTCATCGATGGGTTACGGCGGCAATGACGCGGCCCCTGAGTAAGGGGATCAGTTGGTGGTATTGGGTAGATCTATCAGTGACAATGGAGAAGGATGACACAACACAGAGTGGTAGAGAGAAGCTATATCCCAAACAAAGAAGATCTCCCCGCTTACACGAGGTGACTTCCTTTTATTATCCACTCTCAACTTTACTACGTCAATGTTTGATTGCCAATACAGGTTTTCAATTAAGTGATTTCTTTGTGTTTCCTTTCAAAATTTGTTTTCTTGGTTGTGAAACCGATTCTGATAATGATTTGCTCCTTTGTAATTACCAGACGTTTGAGGCGATTGGATCTGTGTCTTTTTCCTTTTTAGGTTGTGGGGATTTGTAGGGTGATCAATGTGATCTCTTGGCCAGAATTTAGCATCCTTTATGTTTTGGTTTTCTCCAGAGATGGTTCAATGGGTGCATAAAGCAAGGTTGACACAAGAAATGGATGTCTATGGCATGCTTCTCATGTTGTAGTGCTGCTTGGTGTAAATGACCGACACATTGCATGTATCTATCATATTTTAGGCCTCTCAAGGAACTTCTGCATATGGATTTTTTGTTTTCGATTTGAAATCAAAGAGATTGCAGAATTAGGGTACGAATATAATTGAATTGGTTTTTTGCAAGGTATGGATCGAAGGACAAGTGGCCACGACATGAGCTTTATGAGTGGTTAGAAAGAAGCAGATTCAGCTGACAGTATCTAGGGACTAGGTAATCTTTTCTTCTCAGTGTATTCCAACTTAGTATCATCCTTGCCCTGTTAACGACATGAATATGGTTCATTGGGAAGGGATATAGGGATTTCTCCCTCTACAATTTATAGCGGTTCTAAGTTTTCCTTTTGCAAGGATGATGTGTTGATAGTTTCTCCTTACTTAGAATCCTTAGATCAGTTACCTTCATTTTAACTAATCATGAAGAAGAAAATCCAATAGCCATTAATGATGACTTAATTTCTGGCACTTCATGTCAGGTTCCAACTGTCTTCATGGGACCTCTCTGTGTGTGGTTGGTTTAACCCTTACTAGAATACTATTCCCAAATAAGATAGTTGCACACTTGGAGTTTGCTGGGAAGGTGGATTAACAAAACACACCAGCATTCTCAATTCTCTTAAAATCAGTGAGAATGGTTGGGTCAGCAGCTAGAAGCCACTGCGACAACATTCTGATGGTCACCTCCATCTACATGATAGCCAAGCTCGACTTACAGCTTTGGTGCATTTTTCACAGACCTTATAGTGCCTCTATATAGTGCTTAGCAGCTGTGATGGAGAAAAAGGTTACAGCAGATTGCTCTCAGTCAACTGTCTTAATTATCTAGCCTCGATTGTCACTTTCATTTGCATAATAGTTTTGAAGATGATCGATTTGTTCTATCCAGCATTAACTCATTGTCTTCTTACCGATTCTTAAGCAGATGTGGTCAGTCCAGTTGCATCTATGACCAGCATTGGGTATCTGCTAATCTATGATGCCCCAAAAATGCATCAGACAGAGATCTCAAAGATGATGGTAATTCTTTTGTCTTTTCTTCTCCTTAGCAGTATCTATCTCAGTTTTTTACAACTCCTTCCTCTATAGTGCCCTGAATCATCCTGTCCTTACAGTGTATTTAAATTAGGCTGCCTTTAGAACAACTCTTAGACCTTCAAGAGTTTAGCTGAGTTCTAAACAAAATCTTATCGGTAAATGGATGGGTATAAAGCTAGGTTTTTAGTTTGATATTAGTATCTCAACACATTGACACAATTCAAACAAAGTTAGATTTTATTATCTCCTTTTCCTTTTCGTTCCTCCCTCTTTAATGCCAACATAAATATTCGGAGCTTGATTAAGCAGTTGTTTTCACATTTTTTTGGTCTTCTACAGCGGGAAATGTCACTTTCGATCATATTAGCATGTAAATTCCAGCAAGAGACCCATACGCTATGGTACACAGGTACATAGCGCATACTGGATTAGTGCTGCTAGATCAACTGACCCTTAACATTCAAACGTTCCAGTAGAATCCATAAACTTAAATAATGATCGCACTGGAGGTCTAGATCAAATAGCCCATGAGATTTTGTACACAACTGAAAGGGGGATTTAATGGTATGCACATCAGGAAACTGCATGAGCTCAAAAGAAATCTGTACACTATTGTAACTTCCTTTCTGACATTTGATTTACTGTATTTTTTCCTAAGTTGTGTTAAGTTCATTGAATGTTCAATTCCCTAAACATGGCTGTGCTATATGCTTCTGTACTATTTTTAAAATAATAGGGAAACACACACTTCCTGATGTGAATCGACTTTCAGTGGTGGATGTGTTAGTGTTACTTTCAGTTTCACATAAATTCTTCGCTATTCTCTGTTGCAAGTTTAGTCGGATTTATGCCGATTATGAATTTATTTATTTTTACTTCATGTTAATTAGCTGGTTCCACCTGTCTTCATAGGATCTCTCTATGTGAGGTTGGTTTAATCCTTGCTTGAATCCTACTGCCACATATGAGAGTTGAGTTTGGGGTTTGATGAGAAGGAGGATTAGAAAAGTACATCAGGATTCTCAACTCTCTTAAAATCAATGGGAGAGGTTAATTCAACAGCTAAATTGCTTCAAAATCTTGGTTTGTTCTGTTTTTGTTTCAGCTTGAGATGTATGAATACCGAACTTTGTCAAAATTGAATGGGCTGAGTTTCATTTGAATGCCACTCAGTAGATCTGCTGTTTAATAGCCCTTAGTGGATACTCTCATATGTTTCTAGCAATCAGTTTGGTTATTGTGCAAGTTTACTTGCAATGTTGATAGTAATAGGTTCCCTGTTGAGCAAACCAGGTATTTTGGAGGATTAATTGAAGGTGCATATCAAAGCCTGTTGCATTGACATCCCCCTCTTTTCTAATGCTTTTGGGTTCTAAAATTCACGCTTCTTTGTCAGATACAGAGACGTGGAATCCATAATAGAAGATATGATATCCACTACCACCAGAGAGAAAAATAAGCTCACTGGCCCGGACACTGTTCACACTTCTTCAATGCCTGTTCGTACATGTCTGTGGAGTTTTGTACAAAAGGTAACAAGGCAACACATTCATACATGTAGATCCTAAGCACATATTGATAGTCCAATATGCATTGCAAATGGAAATCCATTCCTTTTTATGATGAGGAAACAAAGGGACAACAACATGTTGTGGCCGAGATATATGAGATGGTATTCTAAGTGGTGAACTGTAGGGTTACTGCAGAAGGCTATTAGCTGGTGATGACTTTTTGGTTTTTTTACTTAAGCACATATTGATACTCCATAACGTATTAGAAATGGAAATCTAATCCCTTTTTAAGATGGACAAATGAAAGGATGAAGGGGTACATATATGACCTGGTGTAATATATAGTAGATTGGAATTCTTTGTTGATTTCATTTCAATGTGATCTGCAGTTGATTAGAAGTTATAGTTTATTTTCATTGAATGTGAAAATTGGAATTCTTCTGTTATATAGGGAGTTGCTTTACAACACCTACTTTGCCTATCAAGTATGTACTTAATTCATCGTTATTTAACTATAAGAAAATAGCTTCTCTTTATTTCAACCTCTCATATTCTTTTTAATTCTCCTCAAAAGCTACTGTTATTCTGCCTTCCTAGCTATGGATTTTAATGTTAAATTTCTTTTCACCTCTTTCCTTTAATGAGTTGATACCTCGACTTTGTACTTCCCTGGGTGTTGAAAATAGAAGCAGGTTCACATTTGAAAACGATAATTGAATTTTCCTTGAATGGAGCCCTTACAATTTTACAAATGCATCATGACCACGGCCTGCTTCTCTGTATTTTTAAATTTATGATTTTGTTTGGAAAATGTAGAAGCAGGCATTGCTATTGGTTTGCCTTGAAGGATTCCATTTTCGGTTAAATCATCTCCCTTTCATGTTTGAAGAGTATAATCAGTGTTGTTTTAAGGAACTGAAAAGGCCCTTCCGAATTGGCGTTCAGTTCCATATATTACTACATTACTATAGGCTCGACCTCTTTTGCCTTATGCTTTTCAGACTCGGAATGTACTTTCACTGTTAGCGTGTGAGCAATAGAGGACATATCTTGATAACTTGACACAGATGGTTTCTTTGTCGTGTATTTAACTGTCCTACAGGTTGTTTGCTGGGTTCCAGCAGATTCTCTGAGAAGCAGGTTGTTTGGTGGAGAAACAAGCTAGATCAACCACACCACATTTTCTTAGGTCAAGTGCTTCCGCTTCCACCTAATACTGGCTTTAATAAAATGTTAGCCTTAATAAAATGTTGTGTGCTTATGAATTTCAGCCGTGTAACAGGACCAGACACCTGAGCAGATTAGATAAGAGGTGGCAAAGCGTAGGAAAAAAGAACAAATGTTTATGTGAAGACTTTGGCATGTGATTGAATGTACTGTGTAAATATTTTTAGCTTCTTGCCTCATTTTGAGTTCAACCTTGATTTTGAGTTCATGTACAGTAACTTACTAACTTTCAATAAATATTGTACTTTTGTTCGGTGCAACACCTATTTTTCGGATGAATATTGTATCAGGTTTTAAAACAAAGGTAAGAGAAACTTGATGTCATCACTCAATCAATTTAGTAGTACTACTTATAGATATTCATGGAGATAATTTTATAAGTAGAGTTTGTAGAATTTTAAATTATTGCGAAGCGAAGCGAGCGGGTCTCTGCTAGTACTTGAACTAATTGAAAGAATTGCAGTAGAAAACAGAGTTTAGGTAACTTAAGACTCAAGAGGGTGGATGATGTTGCTGGTACACAGATTGCACTTTGGATTCTAACAAAGAAACGTATTTGTCGAGCATAGAGATCACAGCTTCAAACTCAGTCACCTGCTGCTCTATTGCATCGATTTGTTGAACATATATATCAAAGCTGCCACTTTTAGTCTTCAACTGCTCGACGAAAACTTTCAGCCCAGAAGCCACATCGCCAAAGCTCTCGTACTCTTCAGCTACTCTTAGGTTCATCTTCTCGAGCAGTGCAAGAGAGTTATTCGCCCCCTGGGAAAAGAAATTAGGGTACGATATATTCAAATCGAATACAAGGACTTCATAACAGGAGAAAGAAAGAAACGTTGAAGTTTTGAGTATATATTAATTTGGGCTTAATAAAAAGTTGTTTCCTGTTATGAGACCTGAAGCTCTCCCTTCACCATAGATGAGATGCTAATGAAGAGATCATTTAAGGAGTCAGCAAGCTCATCCCTCCCTGTTCCGTGCTCCTCCCCTTCTGTATCAGCCATCCAAAGGTGTCAAAATGTCCTGAGATTGAATGCAATACCTGAATGAAAGATAGCAGCTAATTCAAGTTGAACTTCCTTTACACACAAGGACTGACGACAATCAATAAACCTCTGCAAAGTAATACATGAAGAAACCGACAAAACAAAGCATGTGTGCACCCAAGTTATCAAACACCTAGATATGTTTGACATTGTTGTCAAAACCTGTTTTCGTCAGATTTTCAGTTACCAGTTATAGAATCCAAGACAATCAGCCTTCTATATTGGATAATAGGGATTTTTCATGCAGACAGAGAGAGTTGCAGATGTTCTTTCTGCTCAATTCTGGATTGATACTAACAAATAAAAATTGCCACGTTAGAAGGAGATACTGCTAACTAGGATTTAGTACTCACTAAAATAAAAATCCATAGAAATTTTAGTTTCATCACCACGAAACTCTAGCAACCAAATATGGTAACAATACATACTCTCCTGTGAAGAAGATCTAAAGAACCAGATTATCGTCATTGGTAGCAGTTTCTGCAATTGTTTTCAGTGTTAACAGTGAGAGAACACTTATGCAATCATCTGTAATTGGGAGAATACTTATCGAAACAAAGTAACAAAATCCTTATCATGAGTATTGTGAAGGATTAAACAAGACCATATAAACAAGTCTGATTCTTCCAAGAAACAGCTTAGCCAAATGCAAAGACCTTATGCCCACATGAAAGCTTCTGATATGCATGCAGTACTACTACTAATCCTTGCAGCCAGGAAACCCAAGCTTGGACAAGAACAAGGTTGAGACACATGCACAATCTCAAACCTTTGCAGATACTGCTTTGTCACAAGATATCCACAGAAACGATGAAAACATAGAACAGGCTAGGAGTAGCCTGTAGCCGGATTAATGTGTCTTTTCTTCCTGTCTCTAATAGTTAGCATTTTGTCTCCAATTTGATGATCTTTCAGTCTAGATGTGTGCAAATAAATGTAGTAAAACAATGTCATACATCATAATCAGGATCACCGAAGCTCAGGTCATGTCTGCTTAAACGAAAGAGAGATACCCACAACACAAGTTGCCAAAAAGCTTCAGACTTTGATCAATCTACAAGAGATGACATCTCAAAGGAAAGGGCTTTGCGGGGAAGACTATCATTAGCTCGCAATTCATTGTTCAGACTACATCTTGTGGGGGAGGGAAAACGATATATACCTTGCAGTGATAGCAGGCCCTGGAGCTTGAAAGAAAGAACAATAATTGCTTTGCAGCAATCGATCAACCTCTCGAGAACGGCTACGGTAGATCTGCTCTGAGTTCGATGCGACGGACGGAGGAGAATCTGACTACGGTGGAAGCGATGACGACGGAGGAGGATCCAGCAATGAGATGCAAATTTGGGCCTTGGTTAAGGTTCCTGTCTGGGCCTGAGTTAGGTCCATGACACCATATAATAGAAGCACACTTGAGAGTTGAGAGGGTACAAGATGAGGCCCAAAGTTTTAAGCAGTTTGTTGAAGACTTGGAAGTTTGGTGACTTTTGTCTAATTACTATAGGTAAATTCCAAGTTTGGTCACTTGGGTTTAAAAAACATCTTATCTTTAGTCACTGAAAAAATTAATATTAATTTTGGTCACTCGAATATTCAAAAAATTTATATTTAGTCACTCTTTATTAGTGTCCATCTAACCCCGTTAATGAAGTTCGTTATGTGCTAAAGTGGCAGATGAAATCGTCTAATCAACATCGTTTTGGGCCAAAAATGGTGAAATCGGACCCGCCATGTCACTAAATCTATGAGTTTTAATTACACAGAGTATGTTCTTGAATGAAAATTTCCACCAGAATTTAATAGTTCATGCATCCTGGAATAAAAGACATGCTCATTGAAGCTAGCAGTCATCCAAACAGTTTAAACTTGGAAGAAATTAAAAATTTTGAGAAGCAGCCAAATCCCCCCTGTATGTTTATTAAATAGCTGTGATGTAATTATACAGGAAGTGGTTGAGTGGATGAATTGGTCCGGACAGTGACTTTGGATTTACGCGTCTTCTTTTCCTTCTTGTTATACTAGGTAATCTATTTGTATTAAAATGACTTGCCCAACACTCAAAATATTGACCGTTTTGTGTAAGAGAATGGGTGTGAGATTCTAATTTAGTTTATCTTTATTGACATCAATCGATGCTTATCGCGATATTATAATTTTTTTTTGGTTAATATCGCGATATTATAATTTAATTGGCAGGGAAAGATAATGCTATTAATACATTCTTCTTATATAGTATTCAGCTAGCTACTGTTGTTGATTAGTACCTGTTAACCTCCATCATATATATTTCAATTAGCAGTACTTCCCTATGTGGAAACTAACTAGACATTGATTGATCAGCTAGATAGATGGAGATTCAGGTAAAGAAGATGGCTCTTCTTCTTTTGCTGCTACTATATGCGTTCATGATTTTGATTTCCACGGAACCAACTTGGGCAAGATTATCCCGACAAGGTGAAGTGCCACATCTTACTAGATCTTGATTCTACGATTTAACTATTTCGTCTGTAGTTCTACCTCTTAATTACTTTCCCTCCTGCTGTAATATTCCTTTTCGGTTGTGGATGAGAGTATAAGTTAGGTAATTTCCGTATTAGTGTTAGGGTTATTATAGAAGCCAATTTATGTACTCTATATAAACCCTTTATAGTTTCAATAATAAGAAACAACAGTTTCCAACGTATTCTGATTCACTTAACACCAGTACGAGTGTCCTTCTGACCGGGCTGGGCCGGCCCACGATCTCCCGGAGCCCATGGTCGTCCCTACCTTTCCCCGCCGGAAAAAAGCTTACACGTAGCTTAGTAGAATTAGTTGGAAGAAAAGTTAACTGTAGCTTAAAGTAGTAGAGTACCTAATTTTTACATGAGTAATTAGTCATCATCACTAGTTTTGACATGTATAGCTTTGTTGATCTGTGGCAGATATGGAGTGTCCTTGGATAGGAGCTTGTGGAAGCAAGTCAGGTCCCGGCGGCCATGGCTGAAGCGCGGAGGTAGCTGGCTAGCTCACAGACGCCGGCGGCTTGATTGGCGATATATGTAGTAGTTTTCCCTTTTCCATATTACGGGAATTACATGAATTGTTAGCAGTACAATATTTTACGTTCCTGTCTGCCTGGGTATACCTTTTCATAAGCTTGGATTTTGAATTGACATTTTTCTTTTGGCATGAGATGTATAAATTGAAGAAAGAAATAAAACTCTTATGTGTTAAAAAGGGTTGACTACTGGTCACGGCAGTAAAATTTTGTCGAGTCAAATTGATTGACTAGATGGTGAATTCCGGTTACAATACCGGACAAACACACTGTTCTTAAAAAAATTATTTTCTTTGTTTGTACACTGACCACCAACATAATCAAGGTATATATGACCAATAATAAAAATATTTTCTTTTTTATGAATATCATTATGCTCATCATCAGTTACGTACCTTGCTAACCATAACTCCATAAGGAGTTCGTCATATTAGTCCCGAGTTGTACGTACAGAATAATTTTTTTTTACAAAAATAGTATAATAATAGTTGTAGTCATTGTTTTTCAATTTTAGTGTTTGTTTATTTTCAGTTGTAGGGCTGTGATTTCGACGCAATTATAATTTTATTTCTAATTTTGTAGTTGCAATCATTTTTTTACATGTTATAAGACTACAATTTACGACGCGAATTACAACAACTCATGATTATTATGGTACTAACAACTCCTATGAGGTCATAAAATTAGCACAATATCGGCTTCACAAATTTTATTTACGTATTTATTAGTAGATACTCCACACTTGATAGCTTGCTAATTAATGTTCTCGTTAACCACACTCACTATTTATGTATATTTTAGCCCTTGCTTGTACATGGAGTGCTCAAACTTCAAGAACTGGCTAGAGACTAATTAACCACACTCACCATTCACCACCTGTGCCAAGCATACTCTACCCAGCTGCACAATACTCAATATTCAGCGAATATGTCAAATAAAAACTGAAGATCTACCCAAAATATTGTATATGCATGTATAATTTGACATGTTCAGATTGAATAATGAGAAAAACATACTTATTCATTATTCGTGATATTATTCAGGTTTAATTTTTACCCATAATATCAGTTATTTTATTTAGTTAACTTTTATCCTACTCGATTGGGTAGAATTCCGACGTGTATGCATAATTATTATTACTTTTGTCGTCATTACCCATTAAGAATACTTGTTACTTTTCCTTACCGCCGGCGAGCCTGAAGCTGAAAAGAACTCCTCCGTTCATTGTAGATCAGACACCACGACCTACCTGTTCCATCCATTCGATCGTAGTCTATGAAAAGGACATGATCATTGAAGAAGTCATTCTTCCGTCTAACCCTGACCGGATCGGAACAAAGAAAATAAACTTGCCCTACACACACCCTCAAAGATTGACTATTTTGTTCATGAAATGAAGAAAACAATTCAAAGGGCGTGACTGAAGCCAAGAAACTGGACGGAAGATAATTTGGAAACTAGTTTTCGTGTCAATGGAAGTCTGCAACAACCGCCCATAAAATCTCCCCACTTAATTAATTAACCTGACCGGCCAAGATGTATAATGTTATTATAAACTTCTGTTTTGACCTCCATTGACTACTCCCTCTTATAATTGGAAGATTAATTTGAGGAAACGCTACTATAACTTATCAACAGGCAGCAGCACAAACAGAACAGAACAGAGGTGGAGATTATGATGAAGCAGCAGGTGGCTCTTCTTGTGCTGCTGCTGCTGTATGTACTCGTGATTTTGCTTTTGCTAGTGCCAAGCACTTGGGCAAGATTACCACCAGGTAATGAAAACTAAACCAGCCTGCATCATCAACCCAGTTTAATTAACAGACGTAGTAAAAGTTTGTCAATTTTTTTTTACAAGGTGATATAAGTTTATTTTTTGTGATTAAGGTACTACTTAAAAGGGCATTTGAACATGCGATCTTTAGGTTCTAGACTAGTGGTATTACCACTAGGATATATGTTATATATATATATATATATATATATATAGTGACCACTTCGGTGCACTCACTTTTTTAGGTGCACTGAACGCACTCATTTTCCTGTTTAATCATATCCATTAAACATATCTAATGGTTACAATAATTTGATTTGTTTATAATTAATTATTAACTAATAAACATAATTAAAATTATTAAAATAATTTGAACTTATTGATAATTGCAAATAGACCCCTAACTTTTAGCCTCTTCTTCCCCGATTCTGTTCTCCTCTTCTGCAAACCCCTCTTATTCCTCTCACCAACAGATACATCTTCATTTCTCCCTCAAGCTTCCCAATCTAAGTCAATCTTCCAATTAGACATATTGATTCAAAATTAATAAAACAACCGGAGGTCACTATTTTTAATTTCCTAAATTCCAAGTTTCTTCCCATCTGAAGAATTGTCCGACCGCTGAATGTGAGTGCGCCGCCGACGCTGACTCCATGATTGGGAAACCTCCATCTCCATGTCTCCGCTCCATCCAACCCCCTAAACATCAATGTCGGACTTGCGTTGATTAATTGATTGGCGGAGTTGTAAGATTTGATGAGCTGCGGCAGAGCTTGGAGAAGAGAAACATGGAATTGGCGGTATGCAAGGAGTAACGGCGATGAAGACAATCGAATCCGACGAGAAAGTGGCCGGAATCCTCCCCGCGCCTCCTTTGGTAGTGACCGAAGTAACCGGCAAACAAGGTAGTCGCCTAAATATAATATCCTTTATTAATTAATAATTAAATACATTCATCCAATTATTGTGAATAGTTAGATATTTTAAACGGTCAAGATTAAACAAGAAAGTGGGTGCGTTCAGTGCACCCAAAAAAGTGAGTGCACCGAAGACGCCACCATATATATATATGGTGAATTCTATCGTATCTTGGATAAAATCTAGGGTATGACATATTCTGAGTAAGAAAACGCTATCTAAATTTCGAATTAACCGGATCTTTGGGCATGGTACTATACCCTAACTTTTGATGAATGAACCCTAGGTCTTAGTTTTCTAAATCATAGAGCATAACCTCTGAGATTGTGCATGCAATTTGTTGCATATATTTTGAAGAATCACGATCGTTGATTTTTGTTTCTAATTAAATTGATCTTAGTGTATGAGATTTATAAAATTAAAACCTAGATTGTAATCTTTAAAGGTTTAGGAATAGTACCAGATGTCAAACTCCGGTCAATTCGATATCTAGATAGTGTTTTTTAACTCAGGGTATGTCGTACCCTTTATTTTACCCAAGGTATGATAGAACCATCCATATATATATATATATATATATGGTAATACCACTAGTATATATATTTGGTTTCAGATTGAAAACTAGTGATATTATTGCTAAATGTTGAAATAAATATTATTATTTCGGCTGATGGATGATTAATTACGATTATGTAGAGCCTATGTATATTGTTAGTAAACGGTATATGATTTATTATTGAACATTTCCTAACAACTCGAATTATTGGGATTAATTGATTTTTGACATGATATTAGAAGAACCTTCTATAACCGAGAGGTCTTTTGTTTAAATGCTGATAACACCCATATGTTCTGTTAAGCACATGGTATCCGGATATTTGCAATCTTCAGGCCTATATATTGTGGTTTTCGTTTGAAGGGTGTGTTAGTAAATGGTATATTATCTATTATTTAACAACTCCCAACAACTCGAATTATCGGGATTAACTGGACGTGACACACATCCACACATCTATATGGGTGGCGTATTCGGTGCATCCACTTTTTTGGTGCATTCAATACACTCACCTCATAATTATCATTCCGAGCGTGCGATTCATATCAAAACGGTATCAATCATCGTTTATGATATTATGACGAGCTTCGTTAATTGATTATTTGGGATGCAGGAATGAATTGTCCTGGGGTAGGAGCTTGCGGAAGCATGTCACCTCCCGGCGGCCATGGCTGATCGATCATCTACAAAATACTATTGCGGAAGCTTGAAGATGATCGCAACCTCCATTTCAAATTTGTGCGGAAATGTTCATTTTGTAATTGCACTTCAGGCAACCGAAATAAAGAAATATCACTTCACCAACTAGACTGCACCTTGTCTTTTAAGTTATGCTGGAGGGCTAGTGGTGACTGAGTAGAGCTAGATTTTATTGTGTAGAATGAAGTTGATGTTATCGAGTGGAGAGTGAAGAAACTTAATTGAAAGGAAGAAGATTTCAATTAATCATGTTATTTATGGATAATTTGTGATTTGCTTCAATTTTTTTTGAGTTTTCTAGATTGGTGTTGAATAATTTGTATAGTTAATTTGTGATTTGCTTGAATTTTCTAGAATGGTGTTTTATATATGGATAATTTGTATAGAGAGATTGATATTTGAATTTAATTTTGGTAGGAACTTGTTATTGTAAATTTCTTACGACAAAAACCCGTGGGTACCCATGAACCCGCGGATACCCACCGGGTTGGGTTGGGTTTGAGTTTTTCAAACCCAGTGGGTTTTACCCCGGGTTTTTTTCACAGATAAACCAATGGGTTGGGGTTTGGGTTTGGCAAAACTCGACCCAACCCGACCCATTGCCATCCCTAGTGACTGAGTAGAGCCAGATCCAACAAGGAAAAAAAGAAAGAAACAAAAAAATCTAGGGGGAGGGGAAAATATTTGGCAGAGCTAAGAGAGAGATGGTAGGGATACCAGATTCGGTGCAATGATGGCTGTGAAAGCGGCGAATCAGGGATTTGGATCCGACAAACTGATGTTGCTGCAATCCAAATCGAAATTAGGGATTCCAAAACTCAAATTGAACTGATGCGGCTAAAAACCTAATAAAAATCAGAGATACCCAAAACCCAATTGAATGGGTGGAATCAACTTCAGGAAGCGAAGAAGATTTGTTGCAAACCCCTGTCGACGTCACAAATCGCTTCTTCCTTCTCAGCCTGTACTCGCGTGTACGATGGAGTCGACCACTACAACCTACACCACCAAATCTTCCTCCTCCATCTTCGTATTTGACCACATCAACGGTGACAGTCAACCCGACGCTGATGATGGAACTGTTCGTGAAGGATACTTGGTCATGTTTCCTACACTGCCAGGAAACAAAAGCTTTGCCAAACCGTATACACCATCCTGATGTAGATCTCTGAGTATGTTTAAGATACCCGAGAAGACGGTAAAAGACATTAAGATGTTGAGTCAGTGCCATTCCGACGAACTGAATCAGTACCTGAACTGAATAGGAGATATCAGGGCGAGTAAGGGTCAAGTAAATAAGACTACCGACTACACTGCAATAGAAAGAATGAGCCTCAAGAAGTTCCCCACTAGACTGACTCAATTTCAGATTCTGCCCCATAGGTGTTGTGCACGGCTTGCAATATGCATATTGAGTCACCTCTAATAAGTTAAAAAAGTACTTCTTTTGACATACCAGAATGCCGGAAGAAGACTGCTGAACTTCTAATCCAAGGAAGTAAGATACATAACCCAACTCTTTCAGGTTAAAGACGACATGTAGATGGCGAGTAAGCTCATGGATACTGTCACTGTCATCGTCGGTCACAATCATGTCATTAACATAGATTAAAATACCCGTAATGCCAGAAATGATATGTCGTGTGAACAAGGATGGGTCACTATGACTCTGTGTAAAACCAGCCTGCAGAATGGTAGAATGAAATTTATCAAACCATGCTCATGGAGCTTGCTTCAACCATACAGTGATCGATTGAGCTTGCAGACAAGATCTTTTCTACCCTTATCATATCTAGGAGGACACTCCATGTAGACTACCTCCTTCAAATCCCCATGCAGAAAGGCATTCTTCACATCTAGTTGATGGAGATACCATGACTTACTAGCTGCGATAACAAGAACACTCCTAACAATCTGCATTTTTGCCACCAGAGCAAAAGTCTTGTCATAATCTATCCCGAATTCATGTCGAAAACCTTGTGCCGCAACCCGATCTTTAAAGTGCACAACCTCACCATCTGGCTTCAATTTAAGAGCATAGACCCAGCGACTACCAATGAGCGATATATCAGGATGTCGATGAACTAAGTCCCAAGTATGATTGGCTTCTAATGCGTCAAATTCATCATCCATTGCCGCATCCCAGTTCAGATCTCCTTTCACTTCCCTATAATGCTACGGAATAAGGATGGATTCTGTAGAAAATCCTTCAATCATAATCCAATAGCTTGCTTGGAGGCTGGCCACGTGTGTTTCGTTGGGAACGACGAAGAATAGGCAAGGGAGGAGGTGATAATTCCATTTGATCATGGGACGTGGCTGACGAGGATTCGGAGTGGGAGGATGATTGCGCTGATGAAGAGACTGCTGGGGCAAGGATGTTGATGATGCATGGGTTGACGAGGTGGATTAATGGGGAGAAAATGACAAGGACTCAGTGGAGTCACTGGAGGAGTGATGCAAAGATGGCTCCTTTGTGGAAGTAGATGCCTGCTACGGATGGATAGAAGGAGTACCGGGAGGATAATTAGATGATGATCCACCAGATGAATCCAAATCAGGATACTTGAGCTATCTCATTCTCAAACGATGGCAGATTTGCAAGGAAATCAAGGGAGTTCTCAGTAGAAAGCTTGTCAATCAGATAGTGCATGACTTCCTCCAAGAAAACCACATGACACAGTATACGCATATGACGAGCAACTGTATCATAGCAGAGGTAGCCCTTATGTTGATCACTATATCCAACAAAACTAGTTGTCTTTGGATCAAACTTACTTCGCTCCTTTTTAGGAAGAAGAACGAAGCATACACATCCAAAAACACGCAGAAATGAGTACGCAGGCTATTTGTGATACAACATATAGTATGTGCAATGATTTACGATCGTCAAGGAAGGTTGGCAGTTTATTAAATAAACTACCGTTTTAACTACTTTGACCCAGAAACCACGCAGAACACGAGAGTGAAAGAGCAATGCCCTGGTAAGATCGAGAACATGTCTATGCTTCCTTTTCACAAGTCCATTTTGATGTGAGACGCCTGGACATGACTGCTGAGATATAATGCCCTGCTCCTTGTAGAAGTCAGTTAACTTATTCGTACTGAATTATCCTCCTGAATCGGACCGAATAACCTTTACAGTAGTCTTGAACTGAGTTTGAATCATGGGAACAAACTCCTGAGCAAAAGTAATAAGTTCTTACTTCTGACGAAGGAAATACACCCATGTATATCGAGTTGCATGATCAAGGAAATAACCACAATACCAGAACCATGAAAGGGGATTTTTGCACCATTAACTACTTATAAAGTCAATGTTGTAGTAGGCTTGATTTCAGAAAATGAGAGGACGAGTGCGTCATATGATTTAAAGCGGCAGAGTCAAGAAACCAACAAGATCGTTTACCCTGAAGCAGCCCCTGTGGAGAATGTTAAACTTAATGCCGCTAGTAGAACCTCCTGAAGAGCTTCTTGGACCAGTCAACGAACCACGTCGGAGGACAGAGAAGCACCACTTCCGCCAACCAGCGAATCGCCAGAGTTGGGAGAGGCTGGACGAACAACATAAGTCGGACCAGATGCTCGAGAAGGAACACCACCCCTAGACCGATCACCCCGACAACCACAGCCCTTCTTCGTAGGACACTCAGAGATAATGTACCCCTTCTGTTTGCAGTAGTTACAAAAATTTCTCTTCGGACACAAGGGCTGAATATGACCGGGTTCTTGATAGTAAAGACACTTGATTTCAGCGGAAGCCCCTTGCTGAAATTGAGGACGAGAGGAGCCAGATTTGTGCACTCTTTAGAAGGGCTGAATATGACTGGGTTGGGAGTTGTCGAGACTTGTCTGACTCTTTAGAAGGGTCTCTTCTCGCACGAGCTCCCCAAAGATAGCATCAAGAGTAGCCACATTTCGATGAAGGAGAGAAGCCCTTACCATCTCAAATTCTGGTCGTAGACGCATGAGGAAATGCATAAGTGGAGACCGATTCCGCTCCTTGACCATGTCCGCTGAGATGGCAGTAGGGGAGAGAGATTCCATGAGGAGATCATATTCTATCTAGACCTGAAGAGCCTTCTGATAGTAACTGCGGATGTCAATATTGCCTCGAGCAAGAGTGTCTAGCTGAGTCTCCAGCTCAAACTGAAGGGAAGCATCATATTGGGAATTCATGGAACAAATATGGACCCATATATCATGGGCAGATTCAAACCAACAGAGGCCTAAGGCAGTAGCGGTATCCATAGAAACCAAAAGACAATTGGTGACTTGAGCGTTGACAGCCTCCCTATCATCCTTATCCTTGGCAGGAGCGTCAGCAGAAGGCTTAGCACATTTACCATTCAGAATAGGAAGTAAACGTTTACCTTCGATCATGGTACGGAACTGGAATTCCCAAAGAGAGAAGTTCGTGTCATCGAACTTGATAGTGGCAGCTTCCAGTTTAGAGGAGTCCATGAGAAACAGCCCGAGATCACAAATAATAATTGAAAACAACGACAATAGCAACGCACAAGAGACACGGCTAGAGATGCGCCAACAAGGAAGTCACCACCAGCAACGACGCAAGATATCCGAAAGCGTCGACCAAGAAAAAGACTCTACAACAGCGAGAGATAACCAAAGGACGTGATCAAGCAATAGACCCAAGAAAACGTGAAACCTGATAGGAAGAGCTTCAATCGAGAGGCTCTGATACCATGTCAATTAATCAAGCAGAAAGAAAGAACACAAGAACTTTTTTAATGTGGTATCGTCAACCTGACACTAGTCCACGGAGAGGATCTCTCTCTCGGGTTTTAGATTTTCTTATTTCGTTAACTTAAGAGTACATATTACAACGATATAAATAGGTTGTAATTACAACCCTAATTCTGAATTACAACATGGTACCTACAATTAACAAGTTTCTGTCTCTAGCTATTTATATTTTCTTTATAATTCTTTTTCAGTTGTGAGATCGAAATAGATAGTAATTGCTGATATCAAGAATATTAATTTTTCAATAGATTTTTTTTCTTCCATTTAAATTTATTTTAATAATTCTGCTAGTAGCTTTTATAGGTGCGATTGTCGTGGCTCGTCACCCGGGGTTGGTGAAGTTGCAGGTGCAGGGCTAGAGTTCCAAGGATGGGGCTGGAAGTCGTGTTGAGTGATGACACCAAATTTGCAACAACAAGAGAATCGCATAAGATTAAGATAGTGCAACATCTCATGGTGCCTCCACGGAGTACGCTGGTTGTTGGATCTGGATGAGGAAGACGCTAGTTTTGAAAGTATAGAGAAGAGGGAAATAATAGATGAGAAGCAATGATGAATTAAGGATTATGATCTCATAAAAGGAAAGGTTGAAAGGATAACTCGACTAAAAAGATGTTGTATTTTTCTCATTTGGCAACAAAGCTAACCCAAACCTGACTCAATCTGATGTTAAAATTCACTATCAAAATCCTGAAAAGCAATTTAAAAGCTAGCTTCTAAGAGTTTACCATATACTAGGGATGCCATCCGAATGTTTTCGGGAATCACTTATATTCCTTTACCAACCCTTTACTAACCCTAACTAATAATTACAGAATAAGAAAGGGAGAGAATCCGTTTAATCCTAAGTTCCTTCTTTCTAAGGATAATTAAATCTCTAAGTTGTATTCCTTTTCCTTATTGGTTTTGTAATTCCTATTACTTCTATGTAACTTCTGCAATTCTGTTGGCTATAAATATAACCCCTAGCTATCAGTAATACACAACAACACACAGTTCATAGCCTTTCCACGTTTGTGCGTGCTACCGCCGTCGATCACGGCATCCTTTAGCATACGCCAACTCAAAGAACGTGGAAATCGATGGCCTGACCTCCATAAACAGCCAGAAGTTCCACATTGGCGTCACCGGCTGCCAAAACGTGAACCTCCGCGACATCACCGTCGCCGCCCTAGGAACCAGCCCCAACACCGACGGCATCCACATCGAGAAGTCCACCTTCGTCTCCGTCCTCAACTCCACTATATCCACGGGCGACGACTGCATCTCCATGGGCCCGGGGGCCCGCAACGTCTGGATCGAGCGGGTGGCATGTGGGCCGGGCCACGGCATCAGCATCGGGAGCTTGGGCTGGAAGTTTCAGGAGCCCGGTGTCCAGAACGTCACCGTTAAGAGAGTCCACTTCACGGAGACGACTAACGGCCTCCGGATCAAGACGTGGGCCCGCCGCAGCTTGGGCTTCGTTAGGAACGTTCTTTTCCATCACGTCGTCCTCGACGGCGTCAAGAACCCAATCCTCATCGACCAGAACTACTGCCCGGGACGCCGTAACTGTCCCCGTCAAGCCTCCGGGATCAAGGTCAGTGACATCAGGTACAAGAGCATACGTGGCACGTCGCGGAGCAAGGTCGCCGTGAGGTTCGAGTGCAGCAAGGCAAACCCCTGCGCTGGGATTACGATGCATGACGTGAAGCTTACTTACGTCGGCGGTGGCCGTGGTGAGGAGGCGACGGCCACGTGTGCGAATGCGAGGGGTACTTCGTCGGGCTTTGTTATGCCGGTAGTCCGGTATTTGTAGGGGCATTTTAGTATATATATAGTTACGTTCCTAGCCATGAATTTTAATTAGGTCTTATATACTTTAGTTGTTGAATATACCGAGCTAAGAGGCTCGCGCTTATTTATCGTGATACATATTTTATTCGTAATTTCCAGTTACGGAGTTTATTTTCGGGCCATTGTTTTCTGCATGGTGTAAATAAATGATTTTATGTGTCGAGTTATCAATCTCGTATGATGTAAATATGAAGAGATGTGAGTCGTTGGTCAAAACATCATACAAAAATATTATTGTTAAAAGCATATCCACTTAATTAGGGATCAAACTTCTCTTGTATAAACAAATCAGCAACATAAATGATGCATCATAAGACAACTTTTTACAGTTAATTGCAAGCTTGATGTTCGATTAATCGCCCGACCAGATCGATGTTATTTCAGCATAATGTATCTACGGTTTGTATGCTAATTTGATCAAAACACAATACATCAAACGTAGGGCAGACTTCAAGTTGAAAATTGTGTCATGTTGTTAGCTGGCAGTAGTCGTAAGAATGTCCATCGCAGGGATACGATCAACAATTTATTTACGTATTATTATCTTCTGATTGAGTGAAATCATCTGTTGAGCAATCATGACAGCTTAGAGTTGGGTTATGCTATACGTTATTCTAGTAGCTTAGGAGACCATATCCATCATCCAGAACCTCTCCTCAAAGAGTAAACCAGCTTGTACAGAAATCCCTACTTAACTCATCTGCTAAGGCAATTGCTCTGCATAATTTTTTTTAGTGGGACTCCACAACATTCAACGACTTAAAGAACCAATAAATTAAGTTAAGTGAACGGCTATTTGCCGTCAACACAATTACACTACAAGAAATTTGATAATTAGCGACTAAGTCTATTTGACATGATAGATGATTTATGTGTCTCGGTAGTTTTATAGCGGCACGTAATTGTGTGCTGCCAATACTGTTGCCGCTAAATCTCTTTAACGACAAATATTATGTGTCTCTAATTATTTATTCAACGACATTTATATTTGCCTATAAAAATATAATCTATAAGAAAATAATTATTTGAAATACCCATTCCCCAATAACTATATTAGCCGCAAAATATATCAATTAGAGCCAAATTCATTGCTTGTAAAAGGTAGTATTAGCGTCGCATTTTGGAATCAACTTGGTAGCTTCTGAACATGGTACTCAAGTGTTGTTTATTTGCTAAACTCAGTCGGTAAGTGGCTTCTGTTTATTAGAGGGGTTTTTTATTTTTACTTTTGTTCAGATCCTTGGAAATCTTGATTTATTTGCTACTGATACTCATGAAAGGGATTTTATTCTAATAAGCTGGACAAAAAATCACGTCCCCATTCATTTCCCCTAATGAGAAATGTTATGAGGTGGATCAAGGTTTAAGGATAAACAAAATTTTGCAATGAATTTGTTGCTCTGAGAGTGCTTCATGAAAGGGTATTTCCGTCATTTTCCCCAATTAAATTGAACTCTGCGTTTGCTTGCCTCCTTCCGCCAAGCGATCCAAAGCTGGTGAATTAGCAATCAATTTGGGTCGGCAATGGGCCTATAATCCTGTGATAGGCCTTGATATGTTACAATGAGAAACACATGCTCCCACAATTTTTTTTTTGTAATTTATACATGTGGGCTTAACAAGTGGTATTGTACGTATAGATGGAGGAAAATTCAAAGCACAAAATATTAGCATTTAAGCAGGCTTCACGTAGGAACTAGGCCCCCTTTTGGAGATCATTTATCATCTCATGAGTCATGAAGGTTTGATTCCAGTTCATTTATTAATTGTAACCCACAAAGCTGCATTATTATTATTCCATTCCTATATTTGATATCTATTCCTAATTATATATACATATTTCTTCTCAATGCCGGACCTCCTATCTTATTCTATCTACATTAGTGTCTTCTATGAGGCTTTGTTAAGGTTAGAATTTATTGTTAAGTCCCATTTATTTTTGGGGCGAGCTTCCAATATAATAGATAATATCATAGATTTATCACTTAAAGTGTAAATCATAGTTAGCAAATACTTCGTTTAATACGTGTGTATCTGGACGTACGTATTTTATGCGTTTAAAACTTCCATTTTTGTATATTTCAAAACCGTTTCATTATTTCCAGTTCAATTGATTGCTCTCATACTAAACATGTATTAAACCTGTATAAGACTATATCCGTATTTACTGAATTAAATTAATACTTAGAATATTATAGATATGCCTATTTATCTGTAAAATAATTATTTTCATATATTTTATGACTATTAATCTATTAGACGTACTATTAGTTTAGTAATGAAGTAAAATACTTTTAAATATTTTATACATAACTTACACGTACCATATTTTACTAAATATGTTGTAAACCCAATAGATAATATCATAATTATTACAAATTTGGTTGTTCAAGTTGGCCATACGGAACCAACCTTTCAACAATCTGGAGGACCAGTCCGTAAAAGAAAGAAAAAAAAAATGTACCTAAAACTAATAGAGTGAGTTCTTTACTTTTAGTGTCTTTTGAGTTTTGAGGTTTATTTGGATACTTTATATGTTTAGTTGAAGTAATTTGATTTCTCATTTATATTAGGGGCCCTGGTACGATTAGTATTGAAAGGGTCCTTAATTTCTGAATTTGAAACTGTAAAACCTTATCAACCTCAGTCAACAATGGTATATGTACTTACTTCAGTATATGTGGATCAAATAAGAGACATTTCATTCCTAAAACTTCATTTACTTCTCCTCGATTTGGTTTTCATTTCCCACCTACAAGAACATCATCCCATGACTAAGCTCCTTTGTCATTTCTAGGGAAGTTTCACTTCAGCAACATAAATGATGCATCATAAGACAACTTTTTACGGTTAATTGCAAACCAATAACAAACCTCTCTCGAATGACATGACAATCAATTTCGATATGTTTGGTTCGTTCGTGAAATACTGCATTCCCAGCAATATGTATGACTGACTGGTTATCACAATACACTTGTGCTGGTTGTGAATGAGTTACCCCAAAATCAGAAAGAAGCCTAACCAGCCATTGAATCTCAAAACTCAAAAGAGCCAATGCTCTGTACTCTGCCTCTGAGGATGATCTGGAGATTGTGCTTTGTTTCTTTGTCTTCCAACTGATCAAATTTGTCCCAAAAAACACACAAAAACCTGTTAGTGATCATCTTGAGTCTGGACAAGTAGCCCAATCCGAATCACTCTATAACCAATCAATTGAACTGCAGAATCCTTTGAGCAAAATAATCCTTGTCCTGGTGAATTGCTTAGATATTATAATACTCTCTGCAAAGCTTTGAAATGAACAGTTTAGGAGAGTCTTGGAATTAGCATAACTGGTGTACTGCAAAAGTAATATCAGGTCTAGTACTTGTAAGGTACTGTAGTTGACCCAATAGATGTTTATAGTTGCTGACATTAGAGTAGCGATCACCATCTTTGGCAGAAAGGACTTGCTTAATGCTGGATGGTGTCTTAGCTGGTTTACACTCATCAAATCCTGCTTCTTTCAACAACTCGGTACATTATTTTTGTTGTGAAACATAGATCCCATTACCAAATCATCAACATTCACAATCAAGACAACAAGGTGTCCATTCACTTCTAACAAATAAATAAAATAATCAGACAATGATTGTCTGAAACCATTTGTCAATAGTGCTTCTGTCAATTTTGCATACCACATTCTGCTTGCTTGTTTTAATTCATATAAGAATTTCTTCAACTTACAAACCTTCCCTTTAAGTTCTGGTTTTCCCCTTAATCCCATAGACAACTCCATATGTACATCCTCTTCAAAATCCTCATTCAAAAAGGCATTATTGACATTCATTTGGTGTAGATGCCAGTTCTGAATTGAAGCTATTGATAACAACATTTTCACTGAAGTCAGTTTGGGAATAGGTGAAAATGTATCATAATAGTCAATTCGATACACTTGTGTGTATTCTTTTGCAACTAGACGGGCTTTAAATCTTTCTATGGTGCCATCTTGCTTGTATTTAATTCTAAAAATCCATCTATTGCCTATTGCCTTAACTCCCCCTGGCAAGTCAGTAATATCCCATGTATTGTTATCAAGTAAAGCTTTAAGTTCTTCAACCATGTAAGTTGTCCATCGAAGATCTTTGGCTGCCTCATCATGAGAGGATGGTTCTATAGCAGCTGCCAAAGTCTTGGCAAAATGCTGCTGCTGAGGGGAAAGATGAGACAAATATGGGGAAATTACTGATTTGAGAACATGACTAACATTCAGGCACACATAGAAATCATCATATTTCTTAGAAAAAATAACTTGTCTTGAAGAATTTCTAAGGAGAACTAAAGGTGGGCAAGTGTTAGGTGGAAAGGAATGGGAACTGGATGAGGAGGATGGTTATGTAAAAGATGTGTCAACTAAATTAGAAGGTGCATACACATTTATTGTTCTGTTATAATAACAATGGATAATAGGATAAAAACTGAAAAGAATTATTATTTTTGTTGGCAATTTACTATTTATCTCGAATATATCGTTACATAAAATTTTAGTTATAACATATGTTTAGATCTATTAATTATCTTAAATAATGATGGTGTACCAATAACAAATGAATTTTTTTATTTATCTTTTTAAAATTTTTACGGTACTATGCAACAAAGTCTGGTCCCCAATTTCTGAAGCCTGGCTATACCCCTGCGCTCATATAAACGCGTATTAAACGTAGTATTTACTAACTATGCTAAAATATCCTTAATGAATTATGTTAGCATGATGCTAACACTAGAAGGCATCAGTGCAGTCAAAATCGCGCTTTAAAGCGTAAAATCGTACGATTTTACGTTTCTAGGGTAGGAAAATGTTTCAAATAAAATCGTATTTTACTCAAAATCAGTCAAAAGCGTTAGTAGAATCGTTAAAATCGGATAAAAGCGCGCTTTCATACTGTTTTTTTCCAATTCCAAGCAAAGGAGAAAATTGTCTCC